TGGCTGCTAAAGTCAAGCAGTATGATGATTTGGAGAAGAGAGGAAAATGTGGGTTGTAGGTGTGAAAGCTCCAATAAGTATGGATGTATGCATAGAAGGGAGGTAAATAAAATGAAGTATTGATAGAAACTTAAAACACAGAGAATTGTTTTCCTATAGTGCAATGATACTGCAATGTGCCTGCGCCACAGGCAACTCCGAGGTATCAGGAAAAGAAAGACAAGACATTCAGCTGTTCGTACTAAAAAGTGTCTTTATTTTGCAAGTGCTAAGAGGTCTCTCTATTTTGTAAGAGGGAGTAGTCTTATATATAATCTTACAATACAGTAGAAAAACCCCAGGTGGAACAGAGCATGTTTTCCTCGTGCTAGATGTTGATGTCAGTGGTGCAATGCGGGGGCAGTAAGCCAGGACTAGAAAACAGGATGCACCTGTGGCTATCAGCTGACAAACAACTCAGAGACCCTGTGGGGGCTAGGCCCCAACATTTGGGATTTACCAAGCACCCTCACTCTTGGCCTCCTCCAGGAACTGGGATATTTAATCTTAGACAAAAGAGTCCCCTTCCTGCCCCCTGTAGTTAGTAGAACTGTTTAGGAAGGATTAGGAGGTGTGGCCCTGTCCAAATAGGAGATGTGGCTTTGTTGGAAGAGGTGTGTCCCTAGGGATGGGTTTTGAGACTTTGAAACCCAGGTCAGGCACAGTCTCTGTCTCTGTGTCTCCCTCCACCACCCACTCCACTGGCTCAAGATGTAAAGCTCTCAGCTACTGCTCTAACAACCTTGCCTGTTAAGCTCCCTACCATGATGATCAGGGACTGACTCTGAAACTGTAAGCAAGCCCCCAATGAAAGGCATGTAAGATTTGCCGCTGTCATGATGTCTCTTCACAGCAATACAACAGGAACAAAAACAGGAAGGAAACAGTATTCACTAGCAATAGTGTAAGTAATATTATACGCTCCATTTATTTGCTCTTCAGAGGAACCCTGCAAAACAGACGCTAATATCGCCACATGCCAACTGAAGATGCCTGCAGGAGATTGACTGAGTTGCCCCAAACCACACGGTTTACAAGAGGCACAGCTGGCATTTAAACCAAAGTCCAGTTCCAGCTCCCCAGGTTCAAGCCCTCTACTTGTCCCCAACCAAGATGTTTGGAAATGATTGTAGAGTGGAAAGGGGAGGCACAAGAGAGAAGCCGTGAAGCTCTGAGTGCCAGAGGCAGGTTCCAAGCATTGAAAGCAGCAGCATGTGTGTCTGCAGTCTGAAAGGTGGGTGGGGGTCAGGGGTCAGAGCGGCTGCTCCTGGGATTTAAAAATTATCCAGGAGTTAGCATAAGTTATGGCACTCCAGATTTAAATGCAGGTCTTTGAGTGTCGCCACTAACTAGCAATTCCAAAACAGTAACAACAAATCCTTACTGAGGGATCCACGCAGCATGAGCACACACAGCTTATGTGGGGCTCTGCTTGCTTAGAGTTGGTAGCGGAATATTTGTATTTATAATTTTAATGTGGGTCAGCTGTTAAAAGCACATGCTGCTCCTAAAGAGGACCTAGGTTCAATCCCCAGAACCCATGGTGGGGGAGGGGGTCTCAAACTATCATTCCATTTCCAGAAGATCCAACTACATCTTCTGGCACCATGTATATATGCAAGCAAAACACCCATACACCTAAACATTTTAAAAATAAAATAATAGATACAATTTTAACAGATGTTCCCTGAAAAACTTTCTCTGAGGAACAGTAATATTTGGTTCTTCCTGGGGCCACAGAAGAAGGTAAGTCCAGAGTAATTGAAAGAAAACAAGAAAACAATCTAAAAGACAAACCCATGGCTAAATTTCACTCACAAATATTGATAGATCTTATATGTTCTGTCCTTAAGGTACTTAGCAAAGCAGCTAGTGCGAGCAGTTGCACAAAAATTTCGAGAACTATAAAATATTTGATAAATTTAACTATGTAAAGTTTTACAATACTAGAGTAAACCCAGCACTTGGGAGGTAAAGGCAGGGCAATCAGGAGTTCGAGATTATCCTTGGCTAAGCAGTGAGATTTGTGTTATCCTCAGCTACATGAAACCTAGCCTCAATAAAATAAAATCTCATTGTGTTCTTGGACTTTTTGCCAACCTCTCTCCTATAGCCCTGTGCCATTTATAAAGGAAGAAAACTATTGCTTATACAGTACTGTGTGAGAACAAAGGAAAGTCAGTACTTATAAAATGAAACTGAACAAATGAAAAATAAACCTTCATAAATATACTAAGGCCACCAGCAAAATTATTTGCATTTGAACTGCACAATTGTTAACTCAGTTCTCCCCTTTGCATTCCTTGCATGAACCTGACTTAACCAAGATTTTAACTAACGCACAAATCGAATGCTTCAGCTGTTTTTACCACGCCTTAAATCTGACCGTTTTCTGGAGTATCTTCAAATGAGCCAGATGAGAAACTACTTAATTAGGATTTTAATTATTTTCTTGCCTTCTGATGGTATCTGGATGTCGCTGGGAAGCCGCCTGCTTCTGCAGTTTCTCAGCTGCTAACACTGTTCCCCAAGGCAGTGTTTGTGGTAAACTCCCAGCTCCTGGAGCGCCAGAGAGAAGCCCTACTCTATAGAGCAGGGAGGGGCTGCAGCCTGGCCTGAACTCCATCATCTCCTCGGGACACAGCAGCCTGCTTTCAGTAGGATGGATTTAGTGTATTTTGGCTTCAGAGCCCTGTTGTATCTTTGAACTTATCTGCATTCCTGCAGTGACTGAACTCCAAATAATAAAGCTGGCTGTCGAATGGCCCAGCTTTTAAGTGGAATCAGATGAGGGCATGCACGTGTACATGCAGTTCGTGTTTGTAAATACCCTTATTTGCAGCACACAGATTTTAAGGGTGAGATAATTAACTTGATTATGACAACTGTCTTCAGTTTAAGCTCTAACAACAAACTTAAACAAAAGAAAACCTCTGTCCCTGTTGAGGGGTGTCTCCGTATACGCAGGTTTAGACATCTACTTTGTCAAATTGTTAGTTTTAAGTAAAATTCACTCACGGATTACTAGGAAGCAGCTCGTGTTTGCATAAAAATAAATAGAAAGTTAGCCCTCTGTCTTTGTTATGGTTGTGATTTACTCTGGAGCCTTGGTGTAACATTATCCATGAGCAGACAGGCTTTGGTTTAAAGTCCACTTTAATTCTGCCCAGAGTCACTGCTGGAATTTCTCAAGGGTCTCTCTCCATTTCACTTCTGTGCAATCAAGCTTGATCCTGGGGGACAGTGGGAGTTGGCAGAACTCTGAAGTTGGCCCACCAACATTTCCTGTCCCAGGCTAGTCCATCAAACTCTGATCTATGCCTATTGTGTAGATACTAAATATTGATCTAATCACAAGAGCCCCTTAAAGATTGAATTTTTGAAAAGCTTTTTAAATATGTGTGTGTGTGTGCATGCTCGTTTGTGTGTACGCATATGTGGGTGTAGTTGCCAGCGAGGGTGTGGAATCCTCTGGAGGTGGAATTTCAGGTGGTTGTGAGATGTCTGAGGTAGGTGCTGGGAACAAACAGGTCCTGCCGGCCTTTGACCCACTGAGCCATCTCACTGGCTCCACATGACAGCTTTGGAGATAGGTAAGAACTTGGTTAAGGCTCTGGGGCAACCCAGGTGGGTAGCTCTATAGTCACAATGAACTGAAAACAATCTCAGTGAGCCCCTAGGCAAATACCCTGGCAGTCCCGAGGAGAGGTCAGAGTGGCTCAAAGCTTATTCAAGACCCTAAAACAAAAACCCCATCAAGCCTTGTGGAGCTTCTAACCTAAAGTACAGGTGGATGATGTCTTCTGCTACTTATAGGTGGAAGGGAGGATGATGGAAAGCCAAGAAAACCGCTACAGTAGTGCCCCATTCAGACAGGCAGGTCTCTCTACAAGCTATCTTTATATAACGATTTTGTTGTCAAGTTTTCACTTAGCCCTGTGAATCCATACATCCCCTCTTACTCCTCTTGTTTGTTTTTTACTGGTCAATTTATCATCACTCCTGTTGCAGATAAAAAACAGAAAACATGGCTGGGAATGTGCCTGTTAGTGGTAAAGCACATTCCTAGAATGTGTAAGGCCCTGGATTCAATTGTCAGGACCATTAACACAAAAGAGAGAGAGAGAGAGGTAGAGACATGGAAGAGGGTTATACCAGTGAGAGACAGTATTTACTTGTGTCTTCTTTAAAGTACAAGCTACACTGCTGGTTTGAACTCACACAGTCTTAAAGGGTTCACAGACCCAGTATTAATTAACTCTCTTCACTCTTCCAGTTCAATAAATAAAGTCTTCATCTAGTATTAACATGATTTAACACATAATTCTCATGGACAAATTTCGCTTTTTAGAGCAAGCCTCAAGTCTACCCTCCATAGATAATTGTAGTATCTAGAAGATTTTAACAATATGCATGTATGCATATTAATATATGTGTATGTTTATCATTTTACTTTGATTCCTGGCAAGCAATATTGACTTAACTGGTTTTGTTTACAATATAATGTTTCCTTTAAAATTTTCTTAAAGTGTTATTTATATAAATAATTGCCACTATGTATATGTGGAGGACAGAGGAAAACTAGCAGGGGTCAGTTCTCTCCTTCCACTGTTTGGATCCTGGAGATCCAATTCAGAGCATTGGCAGCAAGTTCCCTTTCCGTGCTGAGCCAATCCTGAAGTGATCTTGTTGAGTCTAAGTTGCCCACCTCCTTATTTTGGCGTCTTTGGAATCAAGGCACAGCCTGCAATCCTTTGGCGTTTGCTGACTCTGCTGTCCCCTTGCTCTGTGGAAGAGCACCAAGCACCTAGAAGGTATGCACCCAGCGGCTGGCCTGGCCAGTGCTATCCCAAGCCCAACGCATGCAGGCTTTTTGTCACATTCCTTTCCCCTGAAACCAAACATAGGAGGCTGTGGGCTGAAAAACTCAAGAGATTTTGCACTGAAAAAGGCTGCGACAAGACAAAGTGGATTTATTGGGTGGTGACGCAGTATGAACATACATAAGTCATAAAAAGACGCCTTTCTTACACAGGGTAGGAAATAGTGGAGAAAGTATTATAGGACTGGTGGACTTCTAAACGGGTACTTTCAACACCTGAAAAACAGAGCTTCTAAGGCAAGAAGGCATCATGGTGCAATTCAGTCGGCAAACGTTTCCTCTGGCGGTTAGCTAAGCACACTCCTCCTCTTCCTCTGCTTCTATTTCTCCTTTCTAGCTCTCTTTAGGAGTAGATGGTAGAGTATATTCTATGGAAATGGTAAATACAATTAAGTTTAAGCAAAAGACTATTAAATAAATAGCACAAGGCATGCATTCATGGTATTAGAGACACAACAGAGCGAAGCTATTAAAACACTTCTGTGCCACAAAAGGTCAAATTCAGCCTCTGGCTGCTGGAGTGTCACCCAGACCGTTGCAGCCTGAGCCTGAGCCTTAGACTTGAAGCCAGGAACACAGCTCACCTTTGTATATGTTCTTTTCCTTCTGCTTTTAGCCACATTCTCCTGTCCATATCTCCTTCGCACAGTGATTCCCCAGGCCATTATCACAGCAGAGCTTTAAGATTACAGAGAGGAGACTAACCCACACAACCGTGCCAGGCGGTTCTGCAGGGGACCCAGGCAGCGCTTCCTGCTTCTACAGCCTTCAGAGTAACGGAAAGCTGGAAGAGCAAGCGTCCATAGAAAAGTGTGGCGCACAGAGCCCATCAGGGCACTGTAGGACCTCTGTAAAGAATCGGGATCTCATGCACTTGTGGAAGTTGGTGGCTTTGTGGGAGGGTGGCACTCAAGGAACACAGTAGGGATGCTCCTACACATGAGGAATTCCAGAAAGAGCGAGAGGCCTTTCAGGGCATCTCATCTTCAGACTTGGCCAGATGGAGAGCACCTGGCCATAGCTTTCTGTGCAATATATTATGAAATGCTGATCTATTTAATTTCATCTGAATTGGGAACAATTTGCCAGAAATATAGCTATATTATATTATACAATATGAAGTCACAACCACAAACACATATGAACAGTGGTTCCCAAACTTACTCACGTGGGCAACACCTGGAAGTCATGATATTCTTCTCAAAGTACCATAAATATTGATGTATTTTAATAACAAGTCAACTGAGAACAGTTCTATTTAAGGATATGCCTGTGTGTGTATAATATAAAATCACTACCATGAACACATATGCTCTCAAAACTGAAAAATTCAGCTGTTTCCAAGTATTGTAAATGAGGACCATTTACGATCTGCTCATATGTGCTTTTCCACTGCTGATCTGACCAGCTATAAAACAAGAAAGAGAATTAAGAAAAAATGTATGGGTAGGAGCTTTAAATTGAGGGGGTAAATACCTGCTCATTTTCTCTTCCTCCTCTTCCTCCTCCTCCCATCCCTCCTTTTCATCTGTCTTCTCTTACTTCTCCTCCTCTTCATTTTTACTTCTTCTCTCTTTCTCTTTTCAATCTCCCTTGGAAAAGGCAAGAGCAATTTCCAAAATCCAGAACACTGGTAAAGTGGTCATATTGTATGGAATCTTTCTTTAAAACATTTAGAATAAACCCCTAATGTAGTAATCAAGATCCTGACCCAAAAGAGGCCATGATTTGTCTGGGGTTATAGAAACAACTCATGAGAAACTTGAGACTAGACACCATCATATTTCACCAGCTAATCCTGTACCTTTTATAAACCAGCCTTTATTTAAATTTAACTACCAGGTGGTTTCTTTCGGGTAGAAGCTGGAGGAAGGCTGTGTAAAAGAGGATAGACAAGATACCTGGGAAGCCTCTGTTATACTATGTCCTCAAACTAAACCCTATCAAGACCTAATATCTGGCCCCTTAACTAAAAGTTGCCCATCCTTGCATAACTACATTGAAATGTTATATTGGGCGGTATTTCCATCAGAAAGGCAAACAAGTTTTATTTCATGCTTCAAGTCTTTTTATTTGAGAAGTGGATTCCTATGTTGGAGATTCCTATGTGCAAGAGTTGATTTTATATCAGTTTGACTGGATTAGATATTTAAGTATGTCCAGGGGGATGTTTCTGGGAAATATTAGCATATGAATCAATAGAGCAAGTAAAACAGATGGGACTACACAGCGTAGTGGCTATTGCCTTAGTAATTGAGGACCTGGAAATAATAAGAGGATGATGGGAGGGTTCACAGCTCTTTGCTTGACTCTTTGAAATGGACCATTTATCTCCTGCTTGAGATGCTCTTGGCTATCAAGCCTTCAGAGTTGGGCAGGAATCCATCAGTTCCCCAGCTCTTGGACCTTTTAACTAAACCATCATCTCTCTTGGGTCTCCAAATTGCAAAGCTAGATCCCTGAATTCCTTTGTCTCCATAAGGGTGTGAGCCAGATGTACATAGATGATAAACAGATCAATCCTCCAATAGGTAGATAAGTTGGTAGATAGATAAGATAGATAGGTAGATAGACAGATAGACAGACGTATAAATAGATAGTATCCTTGGATTTTGTTCCTTTGAATAATACACAATGGTCTGTAATTGCCAATCCCTGGAAAACGCCATTGCTTTCAGTTAACAACCTTTACATGTATAGTAGGACTGTCCTCTGCATACATATCGTGATTATCAACCACAGTTTAGATCATGAGGAAAGACTGCAATTATTATTTGCAGACTATTCTTTCCATAAGTCTACTCCTTGAACATTTCTTTAAACCTTTCTTAACTGTGGTCACCAGGTGACAACATGAATTCCTATGTTTGTGTCAGCTACTACTTGGAAAAAATCATGTGCCTTAATTATATATGGTTACAAATGACAAATAATTATACTTGATTTACATTTCGCTTCCCATTTTGCTTCTATGAACTTGTGGCAAGTTGCTGAATCTTTCTAGAGCTTCCTATTCTGAAAAAAAGGATGGGAGTAATTATAAGATCTACTTACAGAACGAATGGGTCAGCATGAAGATCTGTATTTACCACACAGTCACTTCCAGTCACTACTGCATTGTTGTTATTCTCTGCCCTGTACAGATGAGGACAGTGAGGCTAGGGACCTTATTTAAGGCCACATTGTTGGTTAATGACAGAATTGGAATTGGAACCAAACAATTCTCTGTCGTTGGGTGGAGAAGCTGAAGGAGATTTTCTATTTTCTTTTTTGTCCCTTTTTCCCTTTAATGTTAAACAATGGGCATGTGTGACACCAACAATCAGAAAATATTAAATGCTATAACATTATCTTTAAAACAGTGTAGACATTGTCACACATGACTGTCTCCTTTACATTGACTTGAGTGCTATGCATTACACCATGGGACTGCTGCCCCCTTTACATCTATGCACGCTGTCTTCTGACTTATTCCACATTCCAGATTTTTACCTGTGCGTTATTTCACTTCATTTTCCCCGCGCGCTAAACAAAGAGCCTGTCTACAACAGTTTAAAATGTACAGAGTACATTCAGAGCTATAACCACAGTTCTCTTTAAAGCAGTGCTTGCTGCTTGTGTTACTATCCCTATTACTCTGCACATTTCATTGATAAGATGAGGCTTTTAGGAATCTAAGGTCACTTAATGAGTAAGGAGCCACAAGATTCAAGTCTAAATGTTTAGATTCCGACCGTCTTTTCCCCCCTGTCTTATGCTTGTTTTTCCGGCTTACACTGTCCCACGTGACCTTTGCCGCATGCGCACTGATGATCTGACCTATCAACCCTTGGTTTCTCTATCTAGCATGACTTGACATTGCTGAGACTCAATCTTCTCTCCTTTGATAGGGCTCCGGATTACGTGCACAGATTATTTTAGGTATGTCAAATATGAAGCTTTTCTTATTTAAACGTTGTTCTTCCCTGTGAAAACATTAAACGGCCTTTAGGGATTAGCCAGTATAAACATTAAAAAAAAAAAAACTAGAAGTATTTAGGAGAGGGGTAGACACTAAACTCACATAGTATGCTGTTGCTTTGCTTCCTGGGTGTCAACATACCCTGGATAAACAGCCATTCAGCAGTCAACAGAAGTGGGCAACGGGAGCTTCGTGCTCCAGAGTAAATTTTATAGAAGGAATATTCTGATCCCATATCCGCTGCTATAAAAAAAAAGGTAGCACAATGCTTCAACCCAGCGCTTCCAGCCCGAGGAATTACAGCCAGATGATAACAGATTGTGCAAACTACGGCTTATGTGAAGTGATGCTCGCTGTTGTTATTTAGAACAGCTAAAATTACAACAACTCGCATGCAAAATAAAGTGCTATTACATAAAATAAGACATTTCTTGTGATAGAACACTGTGCAGCTATTGCCATCATGTTGTAGGAGACAATTTAACGGCATGGGATTTTTCATCGTTTGTTATTAAATTAAAAAGAAGCTTACAAAACAATATTTGAAGTGTGCTCCCAATTTTATTTCGTTTCTATGAATACAGAAAATAGATTGGATAAATAAGCACTAAAAGGTTAAGTCTGGGTGTTTCTAACTTTCAATATTATGAATAATTGAAATTGCTTATTTGTGCCTTTTTATTTTGCCACTTTTTCTAGTAAACAATGCTTTATAATCAGAATAAGATATGAACAACAACAAAAACATTGCGGAAATGAGAAAAGGTTATTATGCCCCAAAATTAATTTAAGTGAGACAGGTTTCTTTGGAGCTGGTTTTCCCCATGCATATTCACCTAGCCTCTGCTTTCTAATGCCTTAGCAGATGCATTCGGCCAATTAAAATGCACGAGGAAAGGTCAAAGCTGTGGCTTTCAAAATTCAAGCTCACTTTCTTATTTTAGTTTAGTTCAAGAGCTTCACAATTGAGGTGTAAAATACTCCTTTTAGAAGAATTTTCCAAGACATGAAAGTTGCTGGTCAGACTTGCTGACTGGGTTTTTCGTTCGTTCGTTTGTTTGTCAGTTGTTACTCTGCATTTCTCGCCAATTTCTTGTGTTGGGTGTTACCTAGATGATGATTTCCAGAGGCTGTGGGGCACAGGGTCTATTATATTATTATAGTACCGTTTTATAAAATCACCTCTTTTGTAAGTTATTAAAATGAGTTCTATTGTAGTTTTGTGAGGTAAATGTAGCCTGCTGCCTTTCTGCATCTTACACCTCTTTTGTCTGTGGTGTCTGTGGCTCTTTCCTGACTCTCCATCGTGGACACTGGCTTTTTTTTTTAATTAATCGTGTATGAATATAGTCACCTTTTGAATATAAATCAGACATATTCTCATCCTTCCACTAGTGTTATTCTTCTAATCCTTCTTATGTATCACCTGCTAACTCCCTCTTCTAGCTCATTAATAATGTGGCTAAACGAGGCTAGCCTCTGTACCTGTCATACCGTCGGAAACTGCTGATATCAGATAGATTGCCATTCATCATGACTGATATCTGCATTCCTGGAGCCAATTTTTAATACCTGGGACAAAAATTCTTTTTCTAGCCAACTTAAATCTGTTGCATAAGAAATTTTGTGAGACAGCATATATAACTTTATAGCATTTAATATCTTGCACTGATTCCATCTTCCACTGATTATGTACATTTTTCTCCAAATAGTTTGAACACTCAAAGTGTCCTATCTAAAGTTCAAGGTACCATCTCCACGCCCAACCTCTGAGTCCTGCTCTTTCTAAGTTCTTTTTTCTGTCATTGTATGGTATCTAATTAAATAAGACATTATCTTTGGTGTTTGTTCCTTTGGCTCCTGCTTTCTCAGGCACTGAATCAAGCCCTCATGTCACTCTCCCTTAAGGAGATTTTCCTACTGCTGTTCTATCCTGGCTCCCTTCCTTCACCTGAGACATCCAAGACCATTCCTTATCTCCTTCACGTATTCTGTGCCACCCTCCCAAATCACTCATTACACTTTAGCCGTGGCCCCCATTCAATCCCACGGCTGCAGAACTAAACAGTCTCTGCTTTACATTCCCAACATGCCAGGCACTGTCAGAAACCCATGAAAGCCAGACTCAGAATTATCGGTGATGCCCAGTGCCTCCATATTTGACTCTTCTCACCAACATGCTTTGAGCCAAGACGCTGTGGAAATCTCAGGCCAGAAACGTGACAACTGTTTCACTTCCTGCCACCATTTGCTTCTTGTTCCCCTCCATGCTAAGAGCATGAAGAGTTAGATCTTAGATGAATAAAAGCCACAGTCCCTTTCATTTGACTGTCTTCCTTTATATAGAAATTTAAGTTCTGAGTTCAGAGGCCTTTCTGCCTGTGTGGCTGAAAGCAATGTTCTGGCTAAATAATCAATTAGCAACTGGATTTTTTTTCAATTGACCCCTACATTTGTGTCCAATACTCCACTACTTTTCAGACTCTGCATTGAAACCCATAAGGAAATGGACTGAGCATCATAAAGTCAACTTGATAGGTCACAGTTAAACTTAAGAGAGAGCACATGATAAGTGTGTGTACTGGATCTAAAACTCATTCGTATATTTTTTGGTGGGTCCCAGTTTTAAAAAGAAAGAAAGAAGAATATTCTAGAAAACATAAAAGGATGCGTGGTAATACATGCTGTTTCTTCTGTGTGCCTTGTGGCAGGCTTTCTTGTAGGCTACCAACCAGCTCACAAATAAAGACATGGAGATGTAATATTAGTTATGAATGTTATCTTATGCTTGTCCCACTAGCTCTTATAACTTAAAGTAGCCTATTCCTCTTCATCTATATTTGCCTCGGGACTCCTACCTTTTTTCATTCTGTATGTCCTACTCCACATCTGGCTGGCTGGTGGCTGCCTGGCCTCCTGGCCCTGAGCATTTCCCTCTCTCTCTCTCTCTCTCCCTCGTTCTCTCTTCTCTCATTCTCTCCTGAGCCTCCATTTCTCCTCCTACTTATTCTCTGTGCCTGCCAGCCCTGCCTAGCCTTCCCCCGTCTAGCTACGGGCCGTCTGGCTCCTTATTAGACCAATCAGGCAAGGTAGCACACCTTTACATCGTTACACAAACACAGCACAACTTTATATAGTTAAAGTAATATTCCTGCAACATAGACAAATCATTACATATTTAATGCAATAGTCTACAGAAGTGCCGGGAGTCTATTCTAGGAAAATGAAACCTGTGCCCCAGAAAGGGAGTGATTCTGTCCTTATCTACCTCAGTTCTGGTTTACAAGTGGGTTTTGGGTGTGGATTTCAATGATCAAGCATCTTTGGTAGGGCTGGAGCTACTGCAAGTGATTGAATGGGGATTCTGTGTGGGGAGAATTTTAAAATAATAAAAAAAGACTGTCTGAAAACCAGTGATTGAATGAAGTGGATAGATGTTTACACAAAGAGTCCGAAATCTGGTTTGCTAAATCACATGTTACCTGAGTAAGCCACATATGTGATCTACTGTAATGAAACTACAGCACTAACTAAATGATCCACTGCCTACACAAAATCTAAGCCTTGGTATATACTTCCTTTCCTCAATTGGCCCTTTCTGTAATTTCCCATATTCCTTTATCTGATGTCACTAGTAGCATATAGCTCCACCACTGCCTGTTTACCTCCATGCCCTGGACAGGACTGTCACTCTACAGTGACAGCATTTGATAGTATCTTGACATTTTGTTTTCTATCATTGGGTCTAGAACAGGACCAGACACAAGGTCCATGTTCCATAAATACTCACTGAACAAATAACATTCGAAACATCTCTAGGCTATCCATATGCTACAAATCGTTTCCCACTTTTGAATGGTTGAGGGGATTGAAGTATGCATAACAAGTTTACTTTTGCACGTCTGTATTTACTAGAAAACTGCATAAATAAATCATATCTGACCATTTATATTGAAGTTTCTGCTTCTGAGGAACAAGATTGGACTCTGTTCTTTCACCTCTTGGATACATACGCTTTCCTAACTCAAGCACCTCTTCAACTTCAACATGAGAAGGATGAAACTCTAGAAATACCATTACTATAGCTTCAATCTCTGCCTGAGAAGATGGATAGGTGTGAGCCCAGGGACAAATTGCTAGCAGTGAAATGAACACGATTGTGTAAGCCTGAAAGAACAGTACATTAAAATGATTTAAATCAATCATTTAATAGAGTGACAATCCAGATAACTTATTTTCATTTTAGATTTTCAGCTGTGCTTTTCCTTTCAAGCTTTTGGAGGTCTAAGATACTTGTGAGTTTAGTGGGTAGAAACTCCTGGTAAATGTGCATTCTGCTAATCAGGCCTGATTTTGAACGTAATTTCTGGGGAGGCCCTAAACCAACCGTGGACATTGGAATAACTTTCTGCTGTGTGTGGAAATGTTCACCAACATCAACTTAGTTGATCTATAGAAATCTCCTATGGCTATGCTAGGCTAGTAATCACCACCATAAACAGTCATTTAAAGTGATTTGATACGATTTCTGTCTTACCACACACTTAGTATCAGAACACAGACTGGATTTCAGATTTATAATCTTATACATTTTCCCTCAAAGATATTTGATTCAAATTCAAGGTATAAGTAGAGCATTTATAAAGTGCCCATATATCCGTGTTTTGCAGGCTTTTTTGTAGGTGTATTTCCCTAATGTGATGACAATGAAGAGGTCAGAATTCACTGTCACTCTCCACTTCCTTCTTGAGGTGGATTCTGTGTTCACTGACTGCTCTCCAAGAGCCTGCCAGCTTGGCTA